ATACGTCGTATACATTGGTTAGCTGCTGTTCGTGCAACATATTTTGAAACAAAACAAGTCGCTAATGGTGGAAAAATGCTGAATAGCGAAGGAGAAGCAGTCGACTTACTACAACAAGAATTAGAAAAGGCTGATAATCCTGATCAACGTGATGGTGATTTAAGAGATCGTACTATGTCATTACAACATGATCGTATGAGTGTAAGTGAAAGTGAACGTGCAGTTCTATTACAAGATATTTCCACAGCATCGACATTGTCAAATCTTGTATCACATAGTAATAAACATATCGATTCATCTACATCGTCGACGACTCCAATACTTGCAGCAAGAAGATTACAAGAACTAAAAAGGCAACAGACTACACCGCCATCATCGATTAGCGATGGTGCAGTTAAGAAGAGAAGTGAAACATAAATACATAGTCAAATGTACGCTTTTTATTTTTTTATCCGTTTGCACATATCATTTTCTGTTGTATGTTCGCGTTTGTGATCTGAAATATTTGTTTTGTCTATATTATTTTCTTAAGTTTTAGTTTTGCTTAAATAATGCATGTATCACCGTTTATTTTTCTTTAAAAGATATGATGGTTTTGGTCCTTTTGAACATACTCTTTGTATTGTTATCATTTTGTAATTACGTCATTACTTATTTAAGTATCATGAGTGCCAATAGCAGTTTATCGTATGAATGCAGTTAGAGGGAATCTTTCAATATTGATACTGAAAGGACCTTATTCGATAGTTTTCATGTGTATTATCATGTATACAGAGCGAGGGTTAAAACTTATTGGTTTTCAGTAATACTTTCAATGATAATTGGGATAATATTTGTTATCACGATAAATCGATCAAAGAGTAAGATTGATTGTGTTAGAATATATGTTTTCAGTATAATATTGATACACACCTATTTTCTCTCCATTAGATCGTTGCTCAAACTGTGATTTTAGTATTGTTCTAAACTTATTTATTTCATTTAATTAAAAAATTTGTTGTGTATGTGACTGGTTTTATGAAAACAATTGTTTTTCGGTGTCTGTTTCCTACACACATTTTTGTTATCACTTCTGTGTTTCTTATTGTATATTTCTAGTCCATGTGTTTACGTATTTTGCACACAAATTTTCTATAATATTAAATTAGTTTAAAAAAAATGAGGTTTTTGTTATATTTACTTTACAGATAAATAAAAAGAGGAAATAAATGTTATGTAACCGATTTATACTGTAATAATTTAAGTAATGAATGGAACACGTTTGAAATCGAGCCAATCGTGGCCTATTCAAAAAGAGTTAGTTCTATCCAGAATGGGCTATCAGAAATTCGTGACTCCGAAAAAAGTGTATGATTAGAAAATAAGAATTTTTAATGAGTGTGCAATGCTCGATTAAAAAAATACAAATAGATTTAGATGGATAGATATATTATCTCACATCTCATTTTGCAGAAGATTACCCAACGATTTAGAAGAACTGAATGTACTTTGTTGAGTGTTGACTAATACGTCTTAAATTGTTTTATGAAGAAGACTCTTCGTTAACAAATACGGCACAGTGGTATCCAGGAGGACATTTAGCCAAAAATGGAAAGTACACTTTTCCAAAATTCAAATAGTGTCACGTATAATTCAACTGACAGGCTATCAAATCATGTAAAAATGTTTACTCCAAGTGCACACATTTTCGGAAAACTGTATCGCTGTCTGAAAAGTAGCGATCTCTGAGAAAAATAGCTTTTTTTAGTGGACTGACTCATCTAAGATTTAAAAACTTTACATCTTCTGAATCTATACATCTCCTTTACAAAACTGGAAAAAATGTATCCTTCCTTAAAATCGGAAAGAAAAATCCGACTTCCACACTAAGTCTGTTTCGTAATAATATTAAATACATTTTTTTAAGAACGAGATTATTGAAAGTCTTTCTTTATACAAATGGGCTGGGTAATCGCTATACATAAAAGTCTTTTTCAAAGGAGTTTTTCTAAACTCATTTTTGGAAAAAAAAATAGTAATTATAGCTTTATGCGCGAAAGTATATAAAAAAAAGATACTATATCAGTCATTAAATTGAAAATTAATTCTAATAAGAATTAATGCCAACAACGAACTAATACATGGATTATGTTAGTGATCCACAATTGATGTTAACAAAACGAAAACAACAGTTTGAAACAATTTTTGATTATGAACAACAAGTATTTAAAGATTTTGAAATTAATGCAGTACCTATTCAAAAAACAGAGACCGGAATCGATGAATATTTTATACCATTAGAACCAAATAAAGCTCTTGCGTTTACCATGAACTTTCCTCAATTATCAGAATCGAGTAAAGATAAAAACATGGAAATAAATGGACAATTGAAGCAGCCGTGTGAATACAAAGGTTCAATTGACAACAACAATAGAGTTTCCAATATCATTAACCTTTTTGACAAATATTTCTGATTTAGAATTCGATTATAATTGTCCCGATTGTATTTCGGACATGTTTGGTCCTATTATTGCACCTTACGCCGCTTTAGCCCAACAACACGATGAATTTAAACATCGATTAGAATATATTGTTTATCAACGTCTGAGTACATTAAGGACACTTTATAATACGAATTCTGACAATAATAATAATAATAAACGATGGGATAGAAAATTTAAGGTCATTTTTATATTCCTCAAGCGTACATTATCTACGTAACTATGAAACTTCTATTTTTAGAAACCACTTCAAAATGATCCTGCCATCGTATGTATTTAATTGTTGTATTTCAGCAGTGTATTCACATTTTTTTAGCAGTTTTTAGAATTATTGGGAACATGTGGACGAATTACATCCGCAATTGTTGGTGGTTGGCTTATAGTACGTTAGATGAGACAGTATAGTCATCGTCAACATATCAACTTTAGTTTTTGTTTCTAGTTACTGAGTACTAGTTCAATTATCTGGGCGCTAATAATGACATTTGTATCTGATAGTTTTCACCCTGTGTTAACATTTATGCGCGGTTTTAGTCAAGCATTTACATTATTATATTATCAGTACGTAAGTGAGATTTAAAACTTTGTGTTTGTTAAATTTAATATCGAAACTATTTTATTTGTTTCTCGTTCAAGTTTATTGTCTATTTTTTTATTTATGGTTCGTTAATATTGATCACTGGTATATCGTTATTATTAGGTGCAATGGTTCTGTCAAGATTTATCATTATATTTAGCATTTGTTTCGCAGTAATTGAATTTTTAATTGGTTTTATTACCATAATTATCATAAAATATTATCGAGTACAAGTGAGTAAGATATATCTTTTAAACTTTTTGGATAAAAAAGTATTTATTTTTTTGGAAAGATCATATATGTATCATTCTGACGGTTTCACAATTCCTTTTAGATTTTACAAAGACTGAAAGACTTTCTTATTGTTTCGCTTAATGACTATGATAATGTATCAACGAATCCAGTTTCGAATGCATGGAATCATATGCATCGTATGGTAAAATCATTGATTTTTCATATGAATCATCCATCTTATAGAAAAAAAGTTTTTTGATTTAGTACAGCTGTTGTGGTGCGGGAAAAGGCGTAATCGATTGGACATACAGTTATTATCGTCGGTTGAATCCATTTCATCTAGTACCACCGTCATGTTGTAGATCAAATCAAGGTAAGCGCTAGATTGAACATTAATGTTGGTTATATTTAACGATTTTCCTTTCTTTTACTTCTAGCTTGTGTACAGGCTCCAATTCAGTCAAATTCATTTGTTCAAGTATGTAAATCATATTAAAATACACATTGTTTTATCACTGATGCACAATGTACTCTTTTTTTATTTTTACACTTGAATACTTTCTCTTAGATTGGTTTCATTTTTTTTTATTTTGTTTGACAGGTATCGTGTTTACAATATGCTAATAAATTTGTCCAAATTGTTTTAGATGCAACATTTTATGTACACATTATTATAGTTCTTTGTCTAGTACGTTTTATATTTAGAAAATACGCAGTAGTGATCATTGTCTTCTATTCTAGTTTTTATCATTGTTCAGTTCTGTTATTATACTGATACATTTAAAAGTAGCCATAAACGAAATGCACATTTATAATACGGCTGTTTTACGTGGAATGTATGATTTGTTAGAAAATTATGAAAAATTGGTGAATGAGAAGAATGAGAATAATTTGAATATGGAAGAACATCATAATAATGCATTACAATTGGCAAAAGAACGGCATCGTGTTCAAGGGTAAGTTTTCTTCTACTGTTAAAAAATATTTAGTAATTGATCTTATTTTTGCATTTTAGTCTCTTGTCAATTAGTCCAACTTTGATACGAGTTAAAAATCCAAGAATTATGAATTATCTTGGATATAAATATTAGAAATCATTCCAAGTTATATCAAAAACTTGTTCATGTCCACTTATTATGTATCTTCCTTTTTTCAAAACTGTGAAACTTGTTTTAGCAAAATATAATAATTCTATGTTAACATTTTAACTGATATAAAAGAAAAAGAGCATAAACATATTGCTTAGTTTTAAACCGCAAACAAGATAGAAATATCATAATGATTCAAATCGGTTCTCGTCTGGTGTATATTTTAGAATGGAAAGATGAAACTTGTTTTATAAGATTTGTTAATATTTTTATTAGAAAATTTTAGAAATGTTGACTGACAAAATAGTGCATAAAAAGGAAAAATTAATATAAATTGGAAAACACAACTATGTATCGCAACGAAAAGGCGTTAGGTTGGCATAAGAGCGAAAGAAACCGAATCACAAACTGTATATGAAACATGAAAACAGAACAAAAACGAAAGACTTTTGAATTAATTATCGCGTTTTCTTAGCTTAGGCAATGTTGGCAGTGCATTTATTGCGTGCTCATTTCTCAACTCTTTTAATGATAGTTGTTTAGTTGGTAATGATGTTTTTGGTGAAGTCGGTTTTGTCGTTAAATCTGTCGATTTCTGAGATATCAACGTTTTTGTATTCGATAATTGACGAATATTTGGTTGTTCATAAGTAACACGCATTGGTGAACGATGATCATGCTTCGTTTGACTAGATAGAAAAACTCATTGTTAAATAAGAGAAATGAAGAATAAAACAAAGTTCTTACTAATCTTCAACTGATCCTCTCGAACTTGTTCGCGATTGATTCTGTAATAACCGAATACTTGATGTGCTTGCAGCCGAATTCGATCTATAACCTAGAATTAAATTCATTAATAATCATAAAAAAACAGCGTCATTAATCTCAAAATAAACTTATTTCTAACTGTAGATTATATTATACGTGCGTACCTGTATCACCGGTTGTGAGTCGACTTTCTGTTTTATCTGGACTTATTGAATTAGCCGATAACGTCATCGATTGTTTAGAATAATTATTAGTCATATAAGATTCATCAAATCCAAAATTAGACGATTGTACATGCCTCGATTTTGGTTTGAGAATTGATTCGTCATCTGAAAACAAAAAATCAAATTGGTGCCTTTAAAAAATTACACAGATCATATACTTTTTACCATAAGAATCACTGACTGTTATTATAGACTGTTCCTTTTCAAATTTTTTATTTTCATTTGCTTGATAAGATCGATTCGCATTGTCGTCATCATCACTCGATGATTCAACTGTAACATCATTTTCTATAATATCATCATCATCGTCGATTCGTAATACTTGAGGTTGTAAAAACTTTTTTCGCTCTTCAATTTTTCTATGAAAGAATGTACAATGATATATATGTTTTTTGATTGACGAAAGTAAAAGATACCTACTTATTATGTTCAATTTTGAATTCGTTCAATTCTTTCATTAACGGCTTATTGGACATTGGTAACGAGGAATTTGTGGTTGTCGTTATTGGAGTGATATGTGTGCTTGATTTTATGGTAAACTTCGGCTAGAATAGCAAAATGTAAGTTATGGTCGGAGAAATTATCTTAAGATAATAATCTCAGTATATTCTATAAGACTTAGATCATAAAATACTAATTACACAATCAGACGTTACTTCATCTTTTATTTCATTCGCAGCTTCTTGATTTGTCTGTTGCTGCTGTTGTTGATTTTTTCTAGCTCGTAATATTTTGGATAAATTTCCCTGAAATGCTGGTCCGATTGTTAATTCACTGACGGCATCATCAACTTTATCTAGAAAAAAATTAGAAGAAATTTAGGTTTTCTCTCTCTATAAAGTACAACTCACCCATTGATTCTAACATTATTGGATCCGTATTTGGTCGATTTACTGCTAGATGATCAAATCTAGCTGCCGATCCAGGGCGAAAACCAGAAGCGGATCCTGGTCGAGCTAAGCTTGCTGAACGTGGACGATAATAAGCACTTGTTGGACGACTCAATGGACTATTGGAAGAACGAGGTCGTGATTCAACTAAAACATTGAAATATATGTTACTTATACCTATTTAATACTAATGGAGTCTGCCTACTTTGATTACAAATCAATTTATCATCTGGCGGTGCCATGCCGGAAGCAATACATTCTTCAATTAGTGACCAATCTTGTTGAAATAATAATGATGAATCTGTACGTTTTAATTCTTTTGTTCTTCTTGCGTCTTTTGTTGTTTTTTCATCATCTAATATCTCAATTTTTGGTAATCGTTTTAAAATTTCAGCTCGATAATCATAGTTTTCCTATGAAACACAACAAATAATCAAACAAAATTCAAAAAATTCTATTTCTCTATTTCTCTACACATACAAGTACACACTCACATCTCTCTCTCACTTGTTCTAGATCTGGTTGTGGTTCACTACAAACAGGATTTCCTTCTAAACTCAATGAACGTAATTTAGGACACAATGCTAGAAATTCAACTTGTCGAAGATCATCAACTATGTTGCTTAAAAAAGAAAGACCGATATAATATTATATAAATTTATACAAAATATATTTTATACCTTTCAAGATCTAATATTTTCAAATTTTCTAACATACTTAATGCACTTAATTCAATAATTTCATTATAAGCTATATAAAGTTCTTCTAATGATTGCAAACTAGTCACACCATCTAAATCATTCAGACAACATCGTGCCATCCATAATATTCGAATATGAGACAATGATGTGCCCAAATCTCTGAAATGAGACAACAAAGAAAAAAAGAAGACTTTTTATAATAACGTAAAACAAGCAGCTTCAATAATTCATCGTATAATTACGGTTACCTGACACGTGGAATTACACTATTATTTAATTTTAATTGTATCATATTTTGTAAATAAATACCAAAATTGCCCAAACTCGTATCGGATGTATCAACAATCATTTCAAGCTCGGTAATTTTTTGCAAATCATCTGTGCCTGTTAGCGCTCTCTATTTAAATAAAAGTAATCATCCATTAAAAAAACAATTTATTCAACTACACCTTTAAATACAAACTAGTTTTGTCGGTGAAAGAAACTCTTCTAATAAAAAATCGGCTTCTCGTAAAATTAATGGTTCTGGATTTATTCGATAATCTTTATGTTCGGTTATGTGAATTCCTCGACGTAAGGTTTTACGAGGTTTTTCAATATCGCGTGGCATACTGGAAACTCTAAAATACGAGTATTTTTAGTGTTTGTATATCTGCAAGGTGGGAGAAAAGTTTAAAGAAGAAAGTTTAGAATTTTACTTCTTACCTTTGCATAACATTCAAAGCAGAAATAAGGTATTAGAATGCAGAAATCAACATTGGCAATTATCTTGTCAACATTATTGATCTAAACAGACAAAACTCTGTGTATAGAAGTTGCACAAATTCTTAACAAAAAGTTCCAGAAATATATTTGGCATTTTAGTAACACTTGAAAACTGATTTCTAAACAATAAGGGATATCATATTGAGAAATTTTTTAAAAGCTTATTCGCTCGAAGTAGACAAAAAAATTCGTAGTTTGCATAGTTCTGACACTTAATTTTGGATAAAAATACTTCTGAAAATGTCTTGATGCTGTTTAGTCTTTGCCAGTCTTCATGAACTTCTTACGACACTACGAGGCAAAACAATAGGGACAGCATTTTCAGAGATGTCTTAACCAAAAATTTGTTGCGCTAATGGGAATACGAATCTTCGGTCGAACTTTAAAAATTTCTCGATTAGGTTGATTTGTTTTTGAAATTTCATATTCATTTTTTAATAACTTTCTTTCTTTATGCAAATGAGAGTGTTCACACGCAACTGGTACTCAAAAAGAAAATTGATGTTTGCACACGCGTGGAGCAGCCATCAACATTATGTCTTCTTTTTAGTTGTTAAGAAATGGTTTACCACTTTGTTCATGAAAATAGATGAGGTTTCAAATTCGCGACTGTGTTCCCTTGCTGAGAAAAAGTGTACAACGCCGAGAAAATGAATTAAGATTTAATCATATTGACTAATATGCATTATTGATTTATTTATCTGCTTAAGGAAATTTAGTAGTAAGAGTTTAGCGGTGTTTGTGATACTTTATAAGAAAATTTGAGATGTAGTATTTCTTGTTGGTTGTTATTTAGATGATTGTATTACGACTACTCTCATTGATGAGGCAACTCTTACGTCTATGATTGGCTTAAATCAGACCTCTGTACAGCTCTGTTTTATGCCTGCTTGTTTTGCCTGACTGATGAGTTATGCAGGTATATATTAGGACGAGCAAGTTTTATCCATTTTCTTCTTCTCTTCTACTTTTTTTTTGTTCACTTGCTCACATTTCCTGGTGTAGTTGTAGTTAGTAAAATCTGTGTATATTATATTATTATATCGTTTTTTTTTCGTAAAAAAAGAAGATATACATATATATTAGTAGCTTTTATACATATAACTCGTCGTTACTGCTATTATTATTTCTTTGTGTTTCCGAAAATAAAAGCTTTTTTTTTGTTTGTTCATTTTTTACTTGTTTTTGTTGATACACTCACAAAATGTCAACTGGAGGTGTACTTGATAATACGTCAAATTTTAAACCTGTTCGTGCAAATAGCAATGATATAACGGGCAGTTATGATAATCCTATGCAAATGTTATACAAACCACAGCAGCAACAACAACCACAGCCACCCGCATCACAACAACAATCGTCTCAGCAACAGCAACAATATGGCGGTGGCTCATCGAAGTATTCAAATAATAATGCTGCAGCCAGTGGTGGCGTAGGCGGGATACGTCCAGGAGCAACAAAACAATATTCTTACAATAATAACAATAGCAGTAGCAATAATAATGGAAGCACAAAACGATCAGCTGGTGGAGTCGAAAATGCCACGAATGACATGGTCAAGTACGTGTCAACTCAACTCCTACCAAAGTCTTTCGTGTTTTTGATGTTCTTTGTTTACTTTTAGTACGCGTAAAGTTTTTGTTGGTGGTCTAAGTCCTGACACAAAAATGGGTGGGTTGATTAGTTTACCCAAAATATTATCTTGTCTGTATAGGGGGAGGGGGTGCTACTTCTAAATTGCATACGAATTTTACTAAGAGCACTATTCAGTGTCTTTTGACTTTGTTTAGAGGATTTATGTGAATATTTTGCTAAATTTGGTGTTGTTGAAAGTGCGACGGTTAAATTTGATAAATCTGGCCGATCAAAAGGTTTTGGATTTGTTCTATTCGAAGATCGTGATACAACAGATAAAGTAAACAAAAAACTGTTATTTTCTCTACTCTTATTCGAATACGTATATATTCTGTTATAGGTCTATTCTCATGATTTACATGTAATACGAGGAAAACGTGTTGATACAAAATCGGCTCATAGACGTGATCAAGCATTAGCTAGAAAAGTATTTGTTGGTGGATTGGACACAGAAGTATCTGATAATGAATTACATGAATATTTTTCAAAATTTGGAAAGGTAAAGTTTAAAAAAAGTAAGTAGGCGTAAAAAATTTTTTCATCGGATTTTCTATCTTAGATTGCACAAATTGAAGCTCCTATGGATAAAATTAAACAGAAGCGACGTCCATTTTGTTTCATTTTATTTGAAAATGAACAAAGTGCCGAAGATGTTTTACAACAACAGCGACATACAATTGGTGGAAAACAGGTGATATGAGTTTTCTATCGTAAAATTTCGACTTAATGCAGCGCTTCGTTTTGACTTAATAAATTTGTTTTGCAACCATTTCTGAGTTATATAAACCTCAAAACTTGTACTGTCTTTTACTACATGCGCAGTCCTCGAAACCGCCTTTCTGTAACTTTGGTCTTAAGTTAAGAATTTATAAATCTTATATATGTCGCATATCACCAAAGTATTTTGATAATTCGAACTTCTTATTCATTCTCTTACTAATCGTCGTCCTACTCAGACTGTATGAGAGTTAGCTGTTCACTAGGGTCACAAGCTTTTCGGTATATACAAAAAGTTCATATTTTACACAAAAATTACTATTTAAAAGATAATAATTTTTGTTAATTAGCACTAAGTAATGTAGCAGCAAAGAGTCTATTGCCACGTTGGTGGATAAGGTTGAACTGGTCAATATTGTTGCTCTTTTCTTTTCTAGGTTGATTGCAAGCGTGCAAATCCGAAAAATACAGATAACAATAATTCCAATAATCAACAGCAACAACAGGCACAACAACAATCGTACATGAATACTTTTTCCTATCAACAGCGAGGCGGACCTCCGCAATCTTCATCTCATCAACTTCAACAGCAACAGCAATATCAGCAAGCTTTAGCGGCACAGGTAACAATTTTCACTAATAAGTTACCAACAGATCTTGAATAGTAGACATTTAAATAATTAATCATTTTTTTGAACATTTTAGCATGGATTTCCAGCTTGGGGAGCAGTTGCGGGTGGTCCAGGACAACAAGTTTCCAACAACCCTCAACAGCAACAACAAAATATGTCACAACAGCGATCTCAAAACAACCGAGGCCAACCTCAACATCAACTGCAATCGAATAATGCTCAAAGTCTACAACAGCATAACTGGTCACAGATTTCACCGGCGCAATGGCCAAACACAAGCTATGGTACGTATTCTAAATGTAATTATCAATGTTTGTTACCGGGTACATGAGAGCATTGACTAAGTCTTCTTTTACCGTTTGATATCGAGTTTACTGCAAATCTATCTAACTAAACTAATTCAAGCTAGCACATTATAAACTGTTCTTTATGTTCAAATAAGTTTTTATTATTTACTGTTTCATGCTTAGTTTAAAGGTTCTATTTCTTGTATTTATAGATCCACGTTATTATAATTCGAATCCATCAGCGGCGGCATCAAATACCAATTGGCAAGTAACCGGTCCTCCACCTCAAACCAATTCATATGGTCAGACTCCCGGTGCAATTTTAACAAGTGCCCGTGCTCCATCAACTGGACCATCAGGTCAAACAAATAACACAAATCCACAACAACAATACAATGGAAATACAACGTCAAATGCATTTCCATACGGCGGTTGGAATTTTGGTAAGTGTGAGATTGAACTCCATAAAAAAGTAGGCTGGACAATCTTGATCTGTCTATAGAACAGAAAAATTTAGTCGGAAGATGAAATGAGGATAAGACTTTTCTCCATCTCCATGCCTGAAGAAATTGATATAAACTGTACTCTTGCAGAAAGCAAGCGCAAAAGGCCATTATGGTATCCTAAACTAAACTACCGAAACTATTCCGAATAAATTCAAGTTTCATAGATGGTGAAATGTTACTATCTTGTCAAGAAGGATTCGTTAGAAATGAAGACAAGTGATTGATAAGAAATTGTATTTTCACCTAAAAACGCTTTCCAACAACGAACAGATGAGATTTACTTTACAAAATATTGACGAGGTGAATGAAAAAATGTATGACGGAACGGGATGAATCCCATCACATGAGGAAATCTGGTTCCGCCGTCCTCTAATCTATATTCAAATACAAAAAGAACACATTTCTTTATTGCAGTTGATAGATCAAGTGAAAACTAGATTGTTTAAAGTTTTGATTCATTGACTAAAAATGGATCAAATACCGTTAGTTGTTGATCGTATCTTTTTATTTTCGCTCAAGGTTCAACAGCTCCACCTCAAAGTGGTTTAACAGGTGCTAATGGAGGTTCAATTCCTCATCCAACGTCTTATGCAAATGCATATGATCCAACAAGTTCAACAGCTCCATTCTATCATCCAAATGCCGGCACAGCTCCCGCATACGATTATTCTCAAGCTGCTTGGGCTACAGCACAACTGGCAGGAACGGGGCAGTATGATCGGGCGGTTGACGCCGCTAATTATTCACGTTAGACTAAAGATAGAAAAAAAAACTTGAAAATGCTATTAGTGAGCATTTTCCCCATTTTCTTTCTCTTCCTCTCTCTTTTTTCCCTGCGCAAGTGTGTGCATTCATATTCTTTTGCTTCTTGTGTGGTGATATTTAATCGTCGCTTAACAAACAATCTGTAGTTGTCTTTTTTTTTTCTTATTACATAAAAAACAAGAAATCTTTTTTCTTTGTGTACGTGTTTTTCTTGTGTTTTTAGTAGTTCCATCTGAACAAAGTAATACTAAAACTTTCATTGTTTTCTACGGTACGTGTTTTCTTCAAGCTTTATGCTCGACATATGTGTGTATGTGCCTGTCTGTTGATTGAGAGGAGTATAGATCAATTCATTTTGTTTCCAATTTTTTCTTCTTATCTACGCATGCTGATCTTTTTGTTCTAAAATAGGTTCGTTTTTTGGACATTTTCTGTACCAATACGTTTTTTCATTTCTTAGGTAAAATTTTTTGAACATAGTTCTTTGTTGTTTGCTCTATTTATTTTGTTTAACATCAATTCTCTTGTTGTAATATGTGTCAAACTACCATCAGATATATTTTTTACTTTGGTTCTTCTGTTGTTTTTTACAGTTTTTTTTTGTTTGGTATAGTGAGAAATAAAGATCTTCTACATTGTGTTCTTTACCGGTATTTTTTTCTCCGTTTGTTATTGTTGTTGTCGTTGCTATTTTCTTGACAGAATTTTTTTCCTCCTTCGTCTTCTATACTTATTTTCATCCACAGTATACAGTATTTGTACATGACGTTTACGGATTCTTTTATGTGTTACTGTTTCTTCTGATGATTTTTCGCTCCAATCTTAGGTAGATCTCTCTTTTGAGAAAAAAGAAGAACGGTTTTGATTTATACTCCTCTCTTTTGGTAGACACACACACACATACACACCACACATACATACACAATGACTAGGGTACTTTTGTGGATGCTTGCTTTTGTCTGTTTGTGTTTTTTTCCTAGTTGGAAGAAAAATAACTTGCCAGTTTTTTTTTGTGGATTTGATATGTTTTTTTTTGATTTTGATCTTTTTTTGGTTTGTTCGTTTTGTATACGCGGTTCGCTTTTTATTGTCTCTCACATCACACGCACATTTGTAAGACACTAAAGTACACAATTTTTATATATATATGACTCTTTGTCGTTATCTCGTTCCTACTATTACTTTTTTTTTCAGTACTGCGTTAAATATTCGATTTGTAAGAGCAAAATTCGAATAAAAAAATCAAACAATTTGACTTTCTATTCAGATGAAAAGAAATTTATCGTTCAGTGGAAGCATCTATTGTTTATAAAGACGTATCAACTTCCCACTCAATATGTATGATACAAGACATGGAAAATTTTGAAAGTTTTAGATATAAGTTCTTGTTAGAAAGATTATATTCACCTCAAATTCTGTATTTACAGATACCCATAAAATTCCTTTTATCAACTTGCAAACGAGTAAGGCAAAGTTTAGTTTCATATTCGGAAGTTATCTACAATCAAATGAAATGATTTTATAGAGAATAAAACGCTTGACTTGACTCTTCTACAACAGAATGATCAAATTTTCCTTTTTCATAACAATCACATGTAGATCTACTTTTATCAATATCATATTCTATTAGATGACTGTAGTACGATTACCGTTAATAAACGTTGTTCTCTCACAATCATTCTTTATATACCTGGATAGTGTCAGTTGAACCTTACTCATGTGCACAATATTCAAGGCACCCTTGGTGGCGAAGATTGGTGTAATGGATACATTTGTGATTACGTAGAGCTGCTAAGCACAGTTGATAACACTGACATCAGTCTAAAGGTTTTTTTTTGTTAATTTATTTTACGGACGACCTTCCACTTATTCTATATTACAAGGTTCTGTGTATATGCATGATGCGTGATTGCTTGAAGAACAAGGAAAACGTCCTTTTTGGATCATTAAGACAATAGGAATACGGTTCAATCAAGCGTAAACCTTATGAAAGTGATGGTTCTTCGTATCAGTATTCTTTGCATAAAAATATGATACAAGAGAAATATCAGAAAACTGGGGAATCGATAATTTTTTAGAATGGGTGTCGGAACTTCACGGCCAAGCTCTCGTCCTGTGGGAAGTTCACCACTTTTTCCGACAAGACCTGGAAATGTTCCTTATGGAGGTCTATCACCAATTAGTGGAATGAATCGACCAGTTAGTCCCATAGGAGCTGGTAACATCGGAACGTTAACGCCAATTCAACAACAGATAATAGCACTACAAAACCAATTACAACAGCAACAACAATTTGGTGGGTTAGGTCAACCAAATCGTTTAGTTCAACCGAATCTTTTAAATCAACCAAATCTTTTAAATCAACCAAATCTTTTAAATCAATCGAATCTTTTAAATCAGCCGAATCTTTTAAATCAACAACAATCTTTGATTTCTCAATATGGCCAATCGAGTCCAGTGCTTCAAAATATACTTCAAAACAGACCAATCCAAGGCCCAAGCAGTGTGAAAAATATTGATTATATGGCATATGCGAATCTGTCCGGCTTAAAACCGGCTGACATAGCTATTTTACATCGAGAGTTTACGAGTTTATCGCGTGGTAATAAATTGGATCGCGTTGTTTTTCGTCAACTATTACGTGAAGCACTAGCTGATATAAATAATGAACAAATCGATCGAACGATTGAAGATATGTTTGTAAGAATTGATCGTAATCATGATGGTTGGATTGATTTTCCGGAATTTGTTGGTGCATTTAAAGAAATTTTAAAAGGAAATCCGCATGATCCAGACAGTTTGTTAGGACAATCAATGAATTTAACAGGTGACGGCGGTATGCGTAGAAGATCTTATCCACAGCTAAATCCGTATCAAGGTGCAGGGATGTTTTCATCTGGACAACAGTACAGTCTTCCACTAACCTATGGTGGAACAGCAGCTCCAATATCAATTAGCGGTATTGGACAATCATCTCCAGATCTAGGACAAGGACAATATATTATAGCTGCACCTGGACAGTACACGATCACTCAGCCTACAGCTTTACAATGTATACCCCTACCAATGATTTAAATGTGCCCCGTCTTAATCAAGAAAAATGTTTCAGCTATAATTATTTTATTTTCGGAATTACATTCTCTTTTCACACAAAAGGGTCTGATACTTTTCAATTACATTTTTAGATGGATTTTCTCGTCACGTCATGTGAATCACAAAAACATCGTAAAACTGTGATACGTTCTTTATTCTTAAAGTTTATACGTGCTGTGAGAATAATATAATTTTTCAAAAATATTTCTGTCATGATGGCATAGAAACTAAAATGTTAGATAGTAAATTACATCGCTGTTGGACGTACGTAACAGGCATTGATCCAGTTCAATCTAGTTATTTTGCAAAGCAGTAAAATATTTTTATTTTTATTATGTTGCACTTATACTATTGAAATCATTCTTCTTTTTATACATATACACAAGGAATCACGTTTTCTCAAGTTCCATGTCGCCAAGTTTTCAATTCTGGAGGTGAATATAGAAACTCCATCAGAATTGTTAAAAACGTTTCTAGAAAATCAAATTTCTGGGTTTTGATTGAAACTTTTTTCAAACAACTTCGCCAAATAGAGCAAATATTTCTGGTATTTCACGATATGTTTCGGTATTTCACAAAAGACTAGTAAAATATTTGTTATTGTTTCTCTATTGACCTGCTCGTTTTGATGGACTGTTTGGGGTTTTCGTAAATCGCATGCCGTCTGATAAAAAGTGTCGTGGAGACCTCACAACGTTCCACTTTACCAATTAATGTTTGCTATATTCGGCCAAGTTATTTGAAAAAAATTCCAATAAAAATCGACGAATTTGATTTTTCGGATAGCTACGTTTTAACAATTAATAACAACAAACAAAGAACGAGAAACTTCTTCAGTTTTACATTTTGTTTTATCTGTCACAGTCGAGGAAAAAAACTAAAAATAAAGCCATACTGATAGTTTTGGCTTGCACTTTGTATCAATTACACCAGATAATATGGATCATTTAATAGTCAATCTCGAAGAACATCAGGTACAAGCATTAAGTCTTTATTTTTCTTTCGTGTCTATCGTGATTGTTTGCTTAAATTATGCAATTTATCAAAAATCATTTAGCTGAGATGATATAGTAATCAGGATAGTAAGTTTGATATTAGGCTATTGATGTATATTAAGCCTTTCATAATATGGATGATCGAGAATTTTATAAAATTGACGAAAAGCGTTACATTTACAAATGTTAAAATCATTTTTATAATCAAATATATAATTTTCATTCAGATGATTTCAAATTTTCCATTGACAGTTTCTATACTTAATATGACTAAAGTTGATTTATTATCACATGGATTAGATATTACCGAAGATTATCCAAGTACCAAACATCTGATTCACATAGAATGCTCGTTACAGCTAAGGGATTGTTTGCATTAGATACCCTTTAGTTTTGAATTTAAAACTTACTGTAAGATGTATTTTGACGAATCCCGCCTATGACACTGCATCATATTACGGACATGGCATGGACGATGAATAAAAGTTTCCTTTTTTCCTAAACAGAAAAGTCAGAAATTGAATGAATTTTGTCACGATATTAGAACTGCAGAAGTGGGATGTCTTTTTTGAATGAATTACAAATATAAAAGGTAAAGACAGGTGATCAGAGAGATAAGGTAAGCCACACACTTCTGCAGTATTAGGTAGTCACATAGAGAGGGCTAACCTTGACTTATATCGCGCTTAACTTTCAGTTTTCTGTCTTGTCTGAGGCGTTCAGAGACAGTTACACTGAGAAGACTCATGTGCGAAAGAGTATACTTGTTATAGAAGATTTAATGAGTGTTTTCATCTATCAGTCAACCGTGAAAGTTGAGATTGGTCAAGGATTAAATTTGAATGTGAACCGTAACCATTCATAACAATACGCGAGATAAGACGTTCAATATCATCAACTACAAAACCAATGATTACAGATTGAACACAAACTTTGAACAATTGACACAAACGATGACAGATTATCTACTTTCATATAAAATATCCAAACTTTTGGTAATTAGACAATTTTACACGTATATACCAAATAAAAAAATAGATTGATGCATTTGTATATTATCAAGTCAAAATGATTAATAGCAAGTTCTGGTGAAAAAATCTCAGAGCGTCATCGTTTTAAGAGTTTGAAACGCATGGTACCCGACTCTATTCGTTTACAAGAACAAATATAAATATATGCAACAAACATTGCAACTGGTAACGCTCGCAATAAAAAAGATTCAAACTATGGAAAGTACCTATTGAAGTGGGTATATACAATATGTTAGTATAACAACAATATAGCAAATAATTTTGTCTCTTATACGGTAAACCATGTTTTGGTAAATATTACTTTTCTCGGACATCGCTGATGTAAATCTACTAAAATAGCAAAAGACTAAGAGATCTTGGTACCATAACATTTCAAAAATTCTTCTATATGTAATTAAACATATGAAACAAACTACCTACATAATTTCAATATGTCCATAAATAGCAATTAATAGCCACTTACAGACGTCAGATTCTGTGATCGTTTCCCAGTGTCGTTATCGTGAATGTGACACTATCCTGACCACTGGGGTTCAAAGCCGTCGGCGTACCGTTCATTCTTCTCGTTTTTTCTTTTTTTATAGTCGGCCAGAAATCGATATCGTAAATGACATGGTGGAATATAACGCATGATACAGGCCTACTGATTCTCGTAGATTTACAGCCACTTATCATGTTCTTATGTGGTGTATAAGTCGGAAAAGCACCGTATTTAGTGCGTTTATGATCGATTACAGCGGCGTAATCATGAACTTGGGATCTCCTATTTATTCCATTCAGTAATAAGCACTGTTTGGTCAACTCTCATACATTTTTTCGTTTTATGAGTGAATCGTCCGATGCATTCACTGTTTTTGTTTCTTCGTTCCATATTTTTATCAAGCATTTTTTACTCTAATTCCTCGTCAAGCACCAAATCTTACAGGCATTTGTGAGGAGTTGTTTAAAGACTAGTTTCTTTCTGCTCGTTTAAAGAACGTTTCAAATCATAGATGTAGAGCAAAGGAAAATCAAATATAAACTACTATCCGTTCCAAATGGTCAGATCAATCTCAAAATGTCATGGACTATAGGTAATCGACTACGCTGAGCATAGTAGCAACATTTGTTTTCGTGTAGAAATGAATATAACTTCGTCAGAGGCATTGTTGTGAAATAACCAGTTTTTCGCCTGTTACTAGCAAAAATTAAAATCCTTATATCTCGATCAAATCTCATGCTGACTCAAGGAAATTTTCAGGAAAGGCTTAAAAGGTGCCATATGTTGTTGACCACGCCGAAAAAGTGATCCAGCAGAACACTGATGCT